GGGGTTTTGGGGGGGGGGGGATCACGATGCCAGCTCAACATCGTGATGTCTGTCAGCCATCGGCGTTGAACAATGGCATCGTCTATCGGCCCAACCCTAACGTCCATGTTGATTAGAGTATTAAAAACTTGAGAAGTATTAATTTAAGGTACATTTAGAACCGATAAAAATGTGCGATTAAGTTGCGATTAATCATGAGTTAACTCATGACTATCGTGCGATTAATCGCAATTAAATATTTTAATCAATTGACAGCCCTAATATATATATCTATAATGCTTAGTATATTATTAAATATAAATTAAATATTAATGTGTTATGTATTAGTATTATTATACAAAAATATGGTAATAATATTAATTTAGTATACATTTAGTAGTATATTGCGTGTGTAGAATCAGCCAGACCAATGATATGACATGGCTTTATTTTTAAATTTTTTTTTGCTTTTCTGTAATTTATCAAAATTCTCTTATTTGAGTGGTAGTATGTGATTGGAATTTAAAGTACACAATGATCACGGTTATTTTACATGATCACAGTTAGATTAGATCATGGGAATTTATCAGTTTTCACTGTTACTAAGTAACAGTGACGCCTAAATGTACTTTCCTATTTCCTTACTTTCCTATTAAAGGGGCCTTTTGAAAAAAACAAGAAGTTGGAGAAATAGAAAATGATTTGTTTAAAAAGGTTTTCTTGGTGAAACATCTATTGTTGATAAGAGACTTAATTCTATTATATTATATTCTTATAGCTACTAGACACTAGAGTTTACTCATTAATCTAAGAGTCCAGTGGTAAATCCATAAAAGAATTGATCTGATAGATAATTCAATATAATAAATGATAGATAATTAAGATGGAGTACAATTCAGTAGAGGTAGCGATGGAGTAGCACTCTTCAAATGAGCTTTACAAACAAAAACAGGTCAGCAAAGATTCACTTTCCATTTGTCAATTAATATCCCATCTCTCAGAAATTTTTAGCTATGAATGACGTGTTAGATCTTTAATGATTTTGCCTGTACTGATAGCATCAGTTTTCCTGTTTGTCATTCAAATAAACAACATCCTAGTCTGACTTTTCCCATTTGCAAATGTGTTCTGTTTAATGCTAGTAATTTGATGGTGATGTTATTAGAATAAATAGGTAATCATCAGTTTCCTTCTTAGTCTGTTCTACACACATATGAACCTTCTTGGTACTTTGCTCAGTTCTATTTGTATGAACATAAAAACATTCAACAACCGAGACATAAACTGAGCAAGTTTCACAGATATTTGGTGGACAGAAATGAAATCATGAATCTCTGAACAAAACAGGAGTCGATATCAAAACCTTTTGACCTTAATTGTTTACTGCTTGTAAACTGTTAGTGTTTACAGGTGCATGTGCAATAATTGTTTGTTTGTTTGTTTGTTTGTTTACTTTTGTTTTATAAAATAAGAAAATATGTGTTTATTTATTAGTAAGAAAGAAGCAACCTTGCAAGAGTGAAAACGATTTTGTTCCCCATATTTCCGTATTGTTGACTTAATATGAGGAATATTTCACAGGTCACAGAGTTCTGCAAAAGAAAACAAAAATTGGGCATTCTAAACAAAGTTATGGTGGTAAATTAAGTGGAGGTTGTTAAAAGATGCATGAGTCTCGGATGTTTGATAGACCTCTACATTTGAATCGCTTGCATCACTTACACTGGAAGATCAGATTATCATTCTTATAATTCTACTTAGCCTATAACATTTTTGTTCTTAACTGAGGGCTTGCCTAGTATTCATTTTGGACCCTGCATTAAAGCTGGTGATTTTTGTAAGAGAGATTATAGATTATCAATATGACTGTCCAAAGATATTGATTTATCACTGTTACTACTGACATGCACACATTAACCTTTTACCAATGAACCACCTCTGTTGTTGGCAGGTAACGGGTCTATATACTCCAGGAAGAGGAGAGATCACCAGTCTGGATGCTGGAAACATCGATGACATCCTTAGTGAGTTCTCACCGTGTTTAAAGGAGGCTGTTTCATCAGTAGTTTCAGTCAGACAGTTTACTGCACCTGTGTCATGCATGTGGGAGTGAGTTATCTAATGGCGCTTTGTCATTGTAGTAGATCAAATGAAATTAAACCACACGTTTCTCTCCACAGACAATGCAGGGGTGGCTCTAGTCAACTTCTATGCAGACTGGTGAGTGTTCCAGATGTGTGTTTGTTAGAAAGGGTAATGAGAGTTCCCCATATGGGTAGATGACATGAATACTTAACTAAGTTGAGGATGATGATATACCAAAAAGCATTAGGCTTGTAACCATACACGATTCAGTTTGATACACAGTACTGAGATCACAAAACAGTGCTTAGTTAAAATGGTAAGGTTTCTTTGATTATTACTTCTACGACGTATAATAAACAGTTAGCCAAAAGTACTGTTCATTAACCAGAATAGAAATATTCCTGATTCTGCTTAGCTAAAAACACTGAATTATGATAGTTTTTTTAAATTTATTAATAATACATTTAATAAACATGGAATGTCTACACTTTCATTTTTGGGTGAACTACACACAATACGTATTGTTGCCATCCATGATGCATATTATTGCATTTTCACATTGCAATATATTTTGACACAATATCTTGTTACACCCCTAAATTATATTATTATTATTCAAATACCTTTATTGATCAATCATCATTGATTACTAATTAAGAGACTACATGGGATATTGGTAAAATATTTCTACTTAAAAATTTATTTTTTTATACAACAAAACCATTTAAAATGGTAAAATGACAAAAACGATTTTTCAAAGAAATTGTGAGCATTTATTGTTTCTTAAGTATTAATAATAGTAATAATAATAATATTATAATAATATTATTATTATTCATGCCACTTTAAAAAATATATTTTTTATACCATTTAAAAGAGTAAAATGGTCAAAAAGTGAATAAAAATCAAAAACATTTTTAAAGAAATTGTGAGCATTTATAGGATCTGAAATATACACTTTAAACAAAATGCAAAGTAGAGGGATCTCGTATCAACTTGCAGAGGCTTATCTTATGCCTGGCTTATTTTATTGTACAGCTTATTACATGGAATGATTTGACCTGAAATATCCCTCTAGAAAAGAAAAACTTGCACTAGCATCTCGTAATTGAAAGTATCTGTATCCTGTACTGAGCTCATTTTTTTTTGTGCGTGTATTTTCCACAGGTGTCGTTTCAGTCAAATGCTCCACCCCATCTTTGAGGAGGCATCGAATATAGTGCGGGAGGAATATCCAGACGCTACACAGGTGGTGTTTGCCCGGGTGGACTGTGACCAGCACTGTGAGTTTATATATATTTACACACACACACACACACACACACACATCGGTTTAGCCTTTGAGATAAAGCAAATTAAACAGAATTATTGATGTCTTGTAAAGTGTTTGATGCATCTTCTGTGAAGTCAAGGCGACTCAAAGATACCCCACAGTGTGGGTGTGTGTGCGCATGACTGATTCCAGCCGATTTACCCCCCACATCGGTTGACTTTCATGTCTCGGCCCCTCCCTCTTTCTTTCTTTCTTGCCTTCTCTCTTTCTCTTTTCTCTACTTTCTTTAGTTCTTTCCATTTTTTTATCTCTCTTCAGCTCTTTTTTTGCTCTGTACTTTGACTTGAGTCCATCTTTCTCTTTAAAATGAAACCGACCTCTGACCTTTTGATCTTTCCCTCTCATAACTTAAAAAACAAAATATTCATGGATTGACCCATATTTTTTTCTCCAAAGAGCAAAGCATCTCCAAGGTTGAAGTGTTCTTTTACATTTGGGTCCTAAAACTTGCTGCCTCATTCTGTTGGTTTTCATTGATTTAAAAACACTTTCAGATATTCAAATGACATCTATAAACACTTCTGTTCAAAAGCGTGGGGCCAGTAAGATTTTTTAAAGTTGGTAGTACTTTTATTCATTGATGATGAAATAGATTGATCAAAAATTACATACACGTGCGTTACGAAACATTTTTATTTCACATAAATGCTGTTCTTTCTATTCATCAGAGAATCCCCCCCAAAAAATCGGATCACAGTTTCTACAAAAACATTAAGCAGCACAGCTGTTTTCAACAGTGATAATAATAATAAGAAATGCTTCTTGAGCAGCAATTCTGCATATTCGAATGGTTTCTGAAGGATCATGTGACGCTGAAGACTGGAGTAATTATGCTGAAAATTCAGCTTTGCATCACAGGAATAAATTCTATTTTAAAATATAATAGAAAATGTTGAATAATATTTCACAATATTACTGTTTTTACTGTATCTCTGATCAAATAAATGCAGACATGGTAAACTTAAACAAAATCTTACCGACCTCAAACTTTTGAACTGTGGTGGAGCCGATATAAAAGAGTTATAGATATATTTTTGTTATGTTTCCCCTGATAGCTGATATAGCCCAGCGCTACAGGATAAGCAAATACCCCACACTGAAGCTGTTCAGGAATGGGATGATGATGAAGCGAGAGTACAGAGGTCAAAGGTCAGTGACCGCCATCGCTGATTTCATCCGCCAGCAGAAAGTGGATCCAATCAAAGAGATAGAAAATCTGGAGGAAATCAGCACTGTAGATGTGAGTGTTTCCCAATCACAACACTATCCCGTTTTATTTCTGTAGCACATTTAAAATATCTACCAAAGTACTTTTTAGGTACGGTGACTAAGAATGATTGCTGTGTCATCTTAATGTCCTTCCTTCTCTTTCAGAGGAGTAGACGCACCATCATTGGTTACTTTGAAAAAAGGGACTCTGCCAATTACCGTACTTATGAGAAAGTGGCCAACATCCTGAGAGATGACTGTGTTTTCCTGGCAGCTTTTGGGTAAGAGAAGCACTTAAGATACTTAAAGTCAGCATGACGTGATAATTCACAGAACCTGTTTTCTAAGTGCATGTTACTGATTTTATTATATGCATGGGTGAATAGTTCATGTTTTTATTTTTTATTAATTTGTCATAATTCGATCTTCCAGTGAAATGACACTGGAAGTCCCAGTCCCTTGGGCCTTGAAAGGGGTAAAAACCTATAGGTTTAAAATGTTGAGTATAGTGTGTGAATAAATAATGACAGAATTTTCAGTTTGGGTGAGCTGTTTCTCTAAGGCAAGACACTACAGGCAGTACTGATCAGTTTTGAGATTTTGGCCTATTTTGCTTTCATAACATGTATTCTTTCAGACTAGTGGAAAGAAAACATCCAAAATACACATTTAAGTGTTTATTTTAGTACACTTTATCTATTTGTGTCTGTAGATTGTGTCAGTTACAAATCATATATTTTCCTCTGCACTGAGATTCTGATTTTTGTACTTGAGATTTATGCAAATGAATGCATATTCTATTAGATAATGCATTGTTTGTGTATTTATTTACACATAGCATTAGAGAAAACGTAATATAAAAGTTGTCTTAATGTACTGTGAATAATCAACTGGGGAAGTATGGTGATATCAACTAGGCCTAGTTAAAATGTTTACCCTAATATTCACCTGTAATTTCCTTACCTTAAATCAAGTCAGTCTGACCTCATTTTTCTATTCCTTTCTCGTTTTTTACAGGGAAGTTTCTAAGCCTGAGCGGTT